AGGGTACCTGCACAGGCAGAGGCCACCGGGACAAGGTGAGCATCCCCCACTCCAGGCCTCAGCGACTTTGGGTGTGGGGCAGGATTAAATTACATAATTAAATATGTGTGATTTAATTTTACTTGTTCTTAAAGTACTCCCTTAATAAGAATGATATAGGTGTGATACGAAATATGAATGGTACATAGGAATCGAGAGGAGGCAGAAATTTTTGTTTCCAGCAGTGACGGTCTAGGTTATACACACCCATCCTTCCACGAAAACAAAGAAAAAAATGGCTAGTTATAATATAGTATCATCTCATTCAAAAGTCAAAAAGCTGACAAGACAGTATATAAGAAACCGCCAGACCAAAATCTGCAGGAAAGCGGGAGCCTAAGAGGTAAACAAACAGGGAGTCACTTTTATCCTGATAGCGGCAGATCTGAACTAATTTTTAACGGCTTTACCAGGGAGGGGAAACAAATCAGGGCCCAGAACCCACTCAAGTGGGGTGAATAAAAAGGCTTTTCCTTACACTAAGCTGAGTCTCTGAAGAGTCACACCCAAAAAAACAAGAGTGAGCCAGAATGATCCCACCTCCCTCTCTGAGAGGCTGCAAGGACAGTTGCCTTGGCATTGAAAGTATCATAGGGAGGTGGGGCCCCTGAGATGTTGTACTCACAGGCTGGCCCTTGTGTGCAAAGTTGCAACTCAAATTTATATCACCTGGGTGGTCTAAAAAAACTTCAAGTGGTACATTTAGGTTAAAGTGGTCCTAGACTGGTAATGCCGTCAGGCACCAGGCAGAAACAAAAGCAAATCTTTAGTGGGGGGAAGGCCATTCAACCTAAGCTTCAAAGAATCCCTGAAAGTAATCTTTCAGGGGTGATGACAAAGACCCAGGCAAAAATAAGCAAGCCCACAAGAATAGACAGATAAGAGGGGAGGGAGAGGAATCAAAGAAAATTCTGGATCCTTAAAGCAAATTCGTTTGCTAATGAATTCTGCAGCTATTTATGCAACAAATATTTATTGAGCACCTACCCTGACCCAGGCTCTATGCCAGGTTGTGGGCACATGTGCCATGTCAGCTGTCATGTGGGATTTCACCCGGGGATGAAAGGTTAGTTGAACTGCCATTATATTTATGTTTATTTACCTTTAGTTTCTGTGTTTTCCTAAGACTTTCAAACACAAGGACCGATGAGTGTCCATTACTATTTAGTGACAGGTTTTGAAATAAACAATAATCTCCAAGGACTGAGGCTGACATCATTGATTCCTTTCCCAGACTCTAAAGGTTCCACGTTTAAGCCTAAAATCCCCTAAGCAAACCACAGAGCCACGTGCATTAACAGAAAAGTGATGAAAGGCAAAGAGAACTGCATCAGAGACATAAAACCCAGAGTTAAGTACATTTATCTTTAACTGTACACGTCCAAACAGATGATCTTAGAAGAACTGCATGAATTGGGCATTAATTTTAAGGTAGATATGGAAACACCTGAAGCCTCAGGAAGGGTGGAAAGAGTTCAGTTCAAAATTTACTTAGACATATAAATCACCTTTCTTGGCCAAGGTGTTTGGCAAACTCTTGCTGAAATTTGGGTTACTCTGGTGCACTGACACTAATGATCGACCTTTATCCTGTAACTGTTCAGAGTAAGGATTCAAGTAGTCAAACTATCCACGTCTGCATTTGTTTGCTGTTATTGTACGTTTTGTAAATATTATGGTGGTTGTCACTGAGCCTGCAGCACAGTATAGACTTGGTTTTTCTTCTCCGTGTTTGCCGAACCACAGCAGTCCGGTGCACTAATGCTAATAATAGCTCCTTACTCTGGGCCTGGAACTGTGCAAAACAGTTTTTACTCCTCACAGCTGTAAGGGGTAAGTCATTGTTATCCTGACTTTGTGCTTGAAGTTGGACAGACCTGGACTCAAATCCTGCCCTGCTTTTGTCCCTTCTCCTCCCTCAGAGACAGGCTCAGTGTTCCGGGTGGGGGTTGCTGTGGATGAAATGATATGCAGTGTGGCAGGGAGCTGGCCTCTGGAAGTACTTGTTTCTTCTTTCTTGAAACAGTTACTCATCATGAAATTCATGTCTTGCTTTAGGCAGCATCTTCAAACAGGTAGACAATCTCTTACATTTACAAAGAGTTTAACGCTTTCAATACCCCTTCTCTCCTCAACCATTGGCGGTTTGATCCTTTGGAAAAGACTTTAATACCTTAGATGACATTTTAGATTTCTTGTCTTCAGGACATAATATAACCATCAGCCTTAAAAAATGCTAATCCAGGAAGTTATGCAAGAAGAAAGGACCAGGGTTTTGCCTTTCTTTCCAGTCCCCTGGAGGCAATGCCTCCCTTCTCCTAGGTGTCTTTGTGTGTGTGTCAGGGGCGTGGGGTGTGGCTAGTGTTGGAGGTAACTCAAGGGAAGGATGTGACACCGAGGTGTCCTGGGTGTGCACGATAAAGATGCCTAGCACAGAAGGAATGTACCACCTTCCCTTATAAAAGAACATTTCATTTACTGTTTCTCAGGCTTTTGAGACAATCATCCTACTTTCTCTTATTTAAACCCAAACTACCGTACTTACTCTTCTTACAAAGGTCTGGATTGAAAGGATTCATCATTGTGGCGAAAAATCCTGGGAAAGATGTATTTGCCCTAGTATAGCCCCTGGCATGCAGTAGGGACTCAACGAATACTTGAAGCTGCTGCAGTGGCTGTGGTGTGTCCTCTCTTGGCCACGCAGGAAGAAACCAGTGCACTGTCCTCCCTCCTGGGGTAGTTTCCTAGCTCAGCGAGATACACTCCTCAGATAGCTGAGAGGCCCCGCAGGTGGATAGCTTTTGTTTTGTCCTGCAAGGTTTTAAAATGCATTTTGAATGAACATTTGAGGCTTCAGGGATTTCATACACATTTACGGCTGGCTTGCTCTATCCACTAGTATCTCTCTGGCCCTTCTGGGAACTTGTGCTGATGCCTGGATTATAACTGTGAGGGCTAAACAAAAGTTCAGAAGTCCTGTTAGCTATATCAGGTGTTAATTTGATCCTACAAAGAATGTGTTAATTTAATCCTATAACAAACATATTTCCAAACACCCCCCCCAAAAAAAAACTAGAAGGTTTAAAATGTGTAAACCCAAAACCCAAAGACCCTGGCCCTCAAATTTCTCACTCTGGGAGAACTGACTGTGCAGGTTGCATGATCAGCTCTTAAAGCCCTTTTGCAAACTGTCCTCTTCCCAGTTCTTGCTAACTAGGGGCACTAAGGGGAAAGGCCAGCGGCCCTTTTAATACTGATGCTTGTAAAAAGCCCCTGCCACCCCCCCAAACTGGGAAGGAATTCATTTCTTTTAAATTTTTAAAAATTGTTGTTCTATTACAGTTGTCCCAATTTCCCCCCATTGTTCTCCCCTGCCTCCACCCCAAGCCCTGCTCCCACAGTCTATTCCCACCCTCCGGTCCATGTACATGGGGCATTTATATTTGTTCTTTAACTAGGCTGAGGAAGGAATTCCTGACGCAAGCAGTGAGGAAGCATTAAAACTCCACTGACATAAAAATCCACTAAATGCCATAGTAGCTTGTTATTTAGAAGATACGCTTTAGAGTTTTACAGAAATTAATCAAATTAAATAGACATAAAGTGCAAGTGATTTTCACTTGACCATATATTACAATCCTGAGAGTCTCCCCACTTTAAAATCATTCCTATAAAAGGCAGGTAAATCCTGACCAATCTCCCTTTGCAAACTGATGCTAGCTCCTCCCCCCCTCCTTTGCTGGTCCCGTGTGATCCCCAGAAACCAGAGCCCCCACGCCCTCCCCCTTGCTGCTGAAGCCCACACTTCTAGCCCCTGCATTGCCTCTTCACGTTCCTTCTCCAGTTCTTACTTTTTCATCTCTCCCCTGGCCCACCACAAATACACCTTAGAGATATTTCAATAAGCATTATAGAATAATAATAATGTTTACATTACTAATATATTGCATTACCACATTACTACTACGTATACTAATAAACATGTACTGATCACCTACTATGCGCCAAGCCCAAGTTTAACTATTTAAGAGAGGTTCGTGCATTGATTAAACACTATGAACACCTGAGACTTGCAGCGCAGTAAAGGTGAGCGCTGAGCAGTCAGGTCTGCTGGTTGGGCGGTAACAAGGCTTGCAGACCGCCTCTGTGGTTCAGATGCCGGCTACAGGCTCCTTCCAACTGCTAAGACTCTCTGATCACTGCTGGCATATTTAAGGATGTGAAATTTAGAAAGCCTCTATTGCTAAGTGGATAAGGAACTTTTGTCTTTGAAAAGCCCACTATTTCCCATAAAGGGGGTGTCTTAGATTAAATCTGCATAAAACCGAACCTCCTCAAAACAATCCCCTCATCTTACTCTTCAGCGAGGAGTCTCCTAAGACTGAAGCTGAGGGGCCACCAGATGCCAAGGGGGTTAGAGGGAATTGAGCTAAGGGTTAAATCCTGCCAGGGTAGAAAAGCAATTTCCTCCAGTAAGTCCTGATAATTGCAGTTTCCTCTATGAAAGTCTGTCATTAAAGTCCACTATGAGGAGGTTCAACAGACACAATTCCAATAACTGTCGCTGACGTGTACCCGGAGACCAGACCTGGCAGAACCAGAGTCAGCTGAGCCCGCCACCCACTCGGGTATCGAACAGAAGAAAAGGCGGGTCTGGAAAAAGCTCTCGGGGAAGAAAGGAAATTTCCTCTTTGTGGTCCTTTCTTTTACTTGGTAACCACTCCGAGAGCTCTGGAGGTCTAGCCCGGAATGACCACCGCAAGGAGGGCAGGTTCCTAAAAGCGCGAGGCGGAGGCGGAGCCTCGCCTCCCCGGCTCGCCCTCCTCCTCCTCCGGGCGCCCGAGCCTCGGAGCCGGGGCTGCTCGCCTCCGCCCGAGACCGGGGGAGTCCCAGTGCCCCGGGACGTTCGGCGCAACCACCCGGGTAGCGGGGAGGAGGAAGGCAGGCGACTGGAAGCCTACCGTCCTCTGCTTCTTGACGCCCGACATGCTGGCGGCGGCGCCCTGCGCGCTGGAACGCGGATCAGCTCGCGGAGTCGAGACGCTGGGGCGCACGGTGGCGGCGGCGGCTGCCGGACTCCCGGGAAGGAGGTATAAAAGGGCTCCGCAGACACGTCGCACTTCCCTTGACCAGCCCCCTCCTCCTACTCCTCCTCCCGCAGCGCTCCTCTCCGCCCAGTCGGCTCCGCAGGCGGCGCCCAGTCCGGGGGACCCTGCCGCCGCCTGGGCGGGGTCCGGCCCGGCTGTCGTGGGTGGGAGCGGCCGGGCCCACTGGGGTCGGAGGCAGGACCCCGCAAGCCCGCAGGGCACACCCGCAGGCGTCGCGCGCAGCCCGGGGTCAAATTCTGCCTCCCCTTGCAGACTTCCAGCTATTCCCAGAGCATCCCCCACCTCCCACTGCACCCCCTGCGCCTCTTCAAGGAAGACTCCGGACTCTGGGACCCGAGAGGTTATTCGGTTGAGGACGAGGAGGCTCGAAACCCCAGACTTGTTGGCATGGTCCCCAGCGGGCACCGATGCCGGCTTGCCTTCATTTGCAGTACTAACGGCGACGGTCAACCTTCACTGATCTTCACGCTGCACTCTCCTGAGCTTTGCTTTAAGTTTCATGTGCCAACGCTCCAGGCACCGAGTCCTACATTCTCATTTTACAAATGAAGCAGTTGAGGCTCTCAGACTTTCTCAGGGCGACATTCCAAGTGAGGGGAGTCGAAGCCAAGCTGCTGGCCTGGATAGTCCAGGTTTCATATGGCAGCGTCATCACAGAGGATGATGATAAAATCATTAAGTCTCGTTGCTTGCCCTTGTATTATGTGTGGGCCAGGCACGGTGCTAAGGGTTATATGTATTCACTCCTTTGGAGCTCACAGTGTTTTCCTGTGTTTAAGGTGGGCCAGCTGAGGCACTGCTCCTTTTCGTGAAGCCAAGTAAGCAAGGTCAGGCCCAGAAGGTGGCCAGTGGTAGCCCAAAGACTTGTTTCTGCCCATCCCCCAAAGTAGTCCTGCAGTATTTCTCTGTGGTCGGCAATGGGCAATAGAATGTGATCTGTGGGAAAGTAAAAGGAGGCCCAAGGCGAGAAGTCTTAAGGCTTGACCCAGGGTTCAGAGCACAGCCTGAGACAACTCTCTTTAAAAACCCAGAGGTCAGGGACAAGCTGTGATTAGTTTGGAGAAGAGAAACCGGGATTAGTGTTGGGCACCCTGAGGGCAATTAACAGTCTCACACCCCTCGGTAGCTTCATTCTTTGCACAAAGCCACAACGCAGCAGAGCAATAAGGCGGTGGGAGGAAAAGCACCGTGAAGGTGCACAAGAGCCACACTACTCGTTCCAACTCCGGTCTTCTGTGAAAGGGCTGAGCGGTTGTACTCTGAAGGGGTGAGGGATGGAACTTTTCTTTTCTCCCTAATTGTGTTTCTGGACGACTGCCAGCTCTAGAGATAGACAGACGCATGGAGATCTGAGTATTCATTGACTGCCCTTCTCCATGGAAAGATGGGAAAGAAAAATAAATCAGGAGGCAAATCTTAAAAGGGAACCTACATGTTTTTACAGTGTTGAAATGTCGGTATATTTATTTTTCTTACTCATTTTGAATAAGCTGCCACTGCTCTTTTCAACGATGAGCAGCTAGAGGGCAAATACTGGGTTTGAGTTTCTGTACTGCACACCAACTAGTACATTTTGAATCTATGTGGTTTAAACAGTAATATCCCATTCTAATTTCATTGGAAATAAGAAACTTTTGTATCAGTTTCAACCATATCTTGGACCCTGCCAGATCCTGCCTAAGAGAAAAGTGCAGATGGAGAAAGAGCAATTGGTGCAATTGTATGTTTTTCATATTGCTTTAAAAAAAACCTCGTGTTCTTAAAACAGAGGGAAGTCAGAGGCAAATCCCTAGGGCTGCTTCCCTGTACGTTCTAGGCGGACGGTGGAACATGGACGCTGAGAGAAGGAGGTAATCGAACCTCATCACTAGTTGAGCAAAGCTGAGACTCCGGCCCAGGCCGACTGACCCCTCAAATGCTCCGTGCCTGGCATCACTCAGCCGCCAGGTCAACTGTTTCAAGACCCCATCGTACTTGTAAATTAGACTGTTTATCTTGTTTTAGATCTGATTAATTCTCAAATAGTACTTTGGAACAGATATTCTTACTCCTTCCAAAGGCTTGTGAAATAGAAGGCCTGTGGTCCCTGGGACCCAAGCTGCGGGTTGTTTAAGATCCTTTAACGGCACACATCATCAGTTTAGTTGTAATGCAGCATGGCAACTCGCTGAAAAGTAAAACAATCATTCTTTTTTACTCACCCAGGGTTTTTCTCTTAAAGGGAATGTTTCAAATTCTTTTTCCTTCTGAAAAGATATGAGCAGCTAGCAGCTTGATTTTTGGAGTTTACCATTCCAGCCCAACAGAAGTGGGGGAAGACTCATTCGGGGGAAAGGAGGGAGGGCTGAGGATCAATTGTCCTTTCACATGGACACACTCTCCATGTTTTCTGCACTAGTGTTCTCTCCAAGACCCCCTGTAAAACACTGTGGGCTACACTAATTGTACCAACTCATAATCCTTGAGACGACTCACAACATTTGCATGAGGTTTTCTTTTTTTTTAATTTTTATTTTCTTATTTCCAGAAACTGACTGGGCTTTAATAATTAACTTAATGAGGTAGTGATTATAATGTGGTCCTTTTACTGTTTAGAAAAGATGGAATCAGTCACCTCACTCAAATAAACAAGGGAAATTAATATACAAAGAACGAGAGTGTTGGTGAGATGTTTATGCCACCAGTTCTCCCACCCATTTGGGTTGGGGGAGGTCATCCCATTTTAGGGGACCTCGCTTGGAGGCACTGCCCCTGGATGACCATTTCAAAGAAATGAAAGCTACATTACCCTCTAGTGGCTATGATGCATAGAGACTGAATGGTTGAAACCCCCTGTACGAAAATTAGTTATTTGGTTCCCTTGGGTCAAGGACCCCTTAAAGAAAGTCCGCTAGGATCCAAACACTCTTTCTGGGCACAGGACTTCTAACATCAGCAAGATGTGGTTCCTGTTTTTGAGAAACTCATGATCTAGTAACGGAGACAGATTCCTCCCCTACCCTCGCCCCAATTACTTTAATACAGTACATGACTTGGACAGGGAAAAATGCCATTTTATTTTGGCTTAAAACACATGCACATCACTTATCTTTGATGTAGGGCCAAGGGCTTCTATTGTAATATAGATATGCTGGTGGGAGTTCCAAAAACCACCCTGGTAAGGCATCTTCAGTGATTTCCAGTTTGGGATTTTATAAAGTGGAGTTAAAGATTAAGAGCACTTAAATAATCTAAGAGGAGATTCAAGATTTTTACACACCCCTGCCCCATCTTCGTTCATTCTCTTGCCTATACCTTATTCAACAGCACAGTTTTTAGGAGCTAATAGTTCCAAAAGATCCATCTGTTTCCATAGACAACACAACTCTTATTTCCGTCCCCCACTCATATGCTGTTTACTTAAGTCACATCTACTGAATGACTTAATACCACTAACAGGTACAATTGGCATAGGCAGGTTTGGGAACAAACACAATGAGTCTGGGTAACCATCCAGTTCGGGGAGTGAAGGTTGCAGAAGTATGTGGGCATTCCAGTGTGTCCTAATGTCAAAGAACATTCAGTGTGCTGTGGCATCAGTCATTATATTTTCTAGAAGAAATAGAGAACATATGTTAAACTGGTCAGTTAAAAGAAAAGATATTGTGGGAGCATGGTGGAGGTATATTTAGTCAATCAGTGTAATCACTAGAACTTTGGAAGGAGGGAGAATGGAGAGGGATTGTAACAGGGTGCAGCCAGGTGGGCAGCCCCCAAAAGGGATTTGGAGAGGGGTCCAGAACTCAAGATGCCCAGGAAATATTAAGATGTCCTCACTCCTTCCCCCCTACAGGTGTGAGTTGGGGAAGGGACAAATGGAGCAGGGCACATTGAGAGCTGTTTTGTAAGCAAAGGCTTTGCAGCTAACCTCTGGCATGGTCATTTAAAATGTCTATAATTTTAACTGGCTGCATAGATATGTTAAATATCTATGGCCACCCTCTGAGCCAGGGGATGGAAGTGACTTCCACCCCAGATGTAACTTGGGGCAGGTCCCCCGAGTTACAGTGCCTGCATGAGAGCTTGGAGATGATTGGCTCCACGACATGGGGCCACACCTGCCCAGATTCACTATGGCAGCCCAGTAAAGCTGGAAGGATGTGGGAGTGCTGGCAAGTATAGCCGATTGTGGGAGGAGTTGGAAATGGGGCTGCAGAGGAAGATTGGCGCGGGGATTTAAACTGAGACTCGGCAGCCACTGGGGAGAGCCATGCAGCTTTGCCAGAGTGGGGACCCCCGCAGCCATGTAAGAAGAGAAAGAGCCTCACATCTGGCAGAGTGGAGATCCCCAAAGCTGGGGGTAGAGAGAATCACCACGTGGCTTTAGCAGAGAACTGCCACTCAGCTTTGGCAGAGTGGTGACCCCCACCCCCGAAGGTTTGGAGGAGAAGAGAGATCCACATGGTTTGGCCAGAGTGCAGACCCCTGCAGCTTTGGTAGAAGAGGACCATGCAGCTCTGGGGTGCTCCTTTTGGCCATGTGGCCTCAGAAGCAGGAGAGACTTTACCTGGAAAATGGGTACAAAGACCTCCTACCAGTAGGCCATGAGAAGGTGCCACATGGCTTTGGATTAATTAGAGATCCTGCCTGGACGGTGACACAACTTGGTTTATCCAGCGGCCTGAAACAGGGACGTGTGCTTCTTTTCCTGAGTTCCAGTACCCTGAATTAGGGTCAGGGGGAGAAGAAAGCACTGTGGGCGTCATTTTGATATTTTGATGAGGACGTTGGGTCACTACTTTAAGCCTGTACAGCATTAAATAAATATTCCCTTTCCTTTTCACAGACCTCTGGCATTGACAGATGTCTTTCCTATAGGGCGGCAGACATAACGAACCTGGGGGGGTCCTTTCAGTATTAGTATACCATCCTCGGCCCCCTCTGTTCAATAACAGTTT